ATAGATAGATGATAGATAGATAGATAGATAGATAGATAGATGGATAGATATAGATAGATGATAGATAGAAGATAGATAGATGGATAGATAGATGATAGATAGATAGATAGATAGATAATAGATTGATGATAGAGAGATAGATGATAGATACATAGATGATAGAGAGATACAGAGATAGATGATAGATAGATAGATAGATGATAGACAGATGATAGATAGATAGATAGATAGATACATACATACATACATACATACATAGATGATAGATATAGAGAGATAGATTTCTTCCCCTCTCTCTTACTCTTTTCACTTTCTACACACAGACACACACACACACACACAGACACACACACACACACACACACACACACACACCCCTAGCCTTTAAGAGAAGTTACCAGCCATATTTCAATGATCTCAGTCACATGTAAACTAATCCCTACATCAAATAGGCAAACTCCCAGGTAACAGAAGCTTGCCTCCAAGCCTGTAGCAGAGCTAAGAGGAACTAGACAGCCACACTCTGTTCTTCCATGGAGTCTCCCCTTCCTTCCTAAGGGCCGGGAAACCCACTGAAGCCCACTGAGACCACCACAGGTAGGCCAAAGCTCTGAGGGTCTTGAAAATCAGAAAGGCCAGGGTCCAGTCTATACTAACAAGGTCAGAACCAGCCCTGTGTGCAGCAGCTGTGCGGGCCGTGCACACTGGAGGCCAGGGATCAGCTGGGAGAAGGAATCCCAAGGTGCTCTCCAAAGGCAACTCTCACTGCCACAGTCCTTGCCATCCTCCATCTGTAGATGCTCTGGCATTTCAGTGCCCACAAACCAAAAACACTGCTTAGTTCACATCCTGAAAATCGAAAGCTTCAAAGAGCAAACAAACAGGAAAAGGAACAGAGCCACTTACCCAGAACTAAGCCGAACACCAGCTCCACACTGCACTCCTGAGAAGCCCACATGCACATCCTACTGGCCTTTTGTAAAGTGTCCTTTCCCCATCTCCCTTCACGCTGTGCTTAATCAGCACTAAAAACCTTTCCTAAAGCCAGGTGTTGTGACTCATATTTATAATCCCAGCACTTGGAAGGCTGAGGCAGAAGGACTGCCATGAGTTCGAGGTCAGTCTTAGGTATGTGGTAAGTTTGAGAATAGCCAGGGCTACAGAATGAGACCATGTCTCAAACAAACAGACAAAAAACAAAAACCCTCTTTTCTCTACAAATTGCAACTCTGCAAAAGTAGTGATACTGAAATTCTTTTTGGTGTTTTTGAGACAGGGTCTACCTATAGACACAATCGGCCTGGAACTCACTATGTAGACCAGGCTGGCCTCAATCTCAAAGAGATCCGCCTGCCTCTGCCTCTGCCTCTAGAGTGCTGGGACTAAAGATGTGCACCACTACGCCCTGAATCTGAAGGACATTGCTTTGTTTGGCTCAGCTTGTTTGTTTTGGTTTTGTCGCTGTTATTTTTGGCCTGGAACTCAAAACCTTCCTGTTTGCACCTTCAGGGCTGAAATCACACCCCACCACAACATGCTAAAACAGAAGTTGCTTCTTAAATGCTACTAAAATTTATAATCCAATTTAATTATTGACACATGAGACATGGGAACTGCTTTTCAAAAGTTAAAGACTGAGGGCCAGTGAGATAGCTCAGAGGGTTAAAGTGCTTGCCACCAAGTCTGAGAGAGGATCTGAATTCAATCCCTGGGACCACATGGTGGAAGAAGAAAACTGATTCTCACAAGTTGTCCTCTAACTTCCATGAAGCTGTGGCTACACACAGATGCTAGGTAGGTAGGTAAATAGTTGATAGATAGATGATAGATAGATGATAGATAGATAGATAGATAGATAGATAGATAGATAGATAGATAGATGATAGATACATAGATACATAGAAGATAGATAGAAGATAGATAGATAGATGATAGATAGATAGATGTGATAGATAGATAAATTGTGTGGTATACTAAATAGCATAGTCCAAAGAAAGAATAGACTACAAAACAGGTCAAGAGATTTAGTGGTTAGAACCTTGATTCAGAAGCACACTCCCCTTTTCAGACAATGACTAAACTGAAGGTGAGGGCAGCCAAGTCACTTAATATCTTTCATTGTATTATACTAGAGCTTCCCCCTATTTTTTTTTTTTTGTCATGCTGGTTCAATCTGTAAAATTAGGTCCCTTTCTGCCCTGGCTTCCCACTTTAAGGTTCAGAGTCCACCCTAAAACATTTTAGCCCTTCTAAGAAGTCTGGCATCTCATCAGCCCTACCCTATCCCAGTTCCTCTGGGATGATTTCTTTCTTTTTAGAAAATATTTTTTATTTATGTGTATTGTGCGTCTGTGGTGCA